GCCTTATAGCCTTGGTTCATGTTGTTTATCTTTGGATTCACACCAATTGTCTTTGCAGCTGCAAAGAAAGCCCAAGATGATGTAAATTGAAAGTCAGGACTCAGCACTAACTGTAGCCAACCAGCCATTGACTAGTAGAAATTCAGTTTTCGCTGGTGGTTTTCCATTTCCACTGGCCTGTTTGGCTAGCAAACAAACTGAAATTGTTGTAACATCTAAGATGTCACAAGCAACTTGGCTAGTAGGTTAAAAAAAGTTGGTGTCAAGCCCTGGAAAGTGAAACTAGATTCACAACACTGTTCACTTTTCAGCCACACTTTCCTACTTTATCACTAAGGGAAACCCTCCATCACTGGAAATTTCAAGTAGGGTTCTCTGGGGTTCTGAAATAACCCTAAGAGTAAGTCAGAAGTCTATATTGGTTCTAATGTAAGTCTCTCTACTTTTGTTGTCTTGTTATATCTCTGAATTACAAAACTATACATGGAACTTATTTTTTCTCCCTCTCTAAAATTAAAAAAAGAGGAAGAAATACCTTTTGAGAAATTGAGACTACCGGTACTTATAGGAGAGAAATCTTATCAAGTGCCATTCACAGTGATTTCTGTATAAAGCTGACTCCTCCCTGACTCTTATCAGTTTCTATTTAACACAGGTTAAATGCAAGGTTCTCGTTAAAAGCCAGTAACTGGTTATTTTTACTAGTTTTTCAAGTAAATGTTACCAGCTATTTCACTGAGACCTGGGTCTGGAATATTTACCAAAGTTATCTGATGATTTTTTCAGTTTTATAGAAAAATATCAGTTGTCTCCTTCCAACTAGTTGTGAAGATATCTAACACACATTACTGCTTTGAAAATACACCATGTTTCCTTTTCATTCTTCTCACTGCCAAACTAAAATGCCCAGCATTTACTGAGAAATGTCACTGCGGACAACATGGTGTCCACACAAGGAAAACCTGCCCCAAGACCCTGGTGGGAGCCTATGCAGCCTACACACCCCCAGCATGAGGGGAAGGTAAAACAAAAATACATACTATTTCTTATTTTTTACCTCCTATGAAAAAACTTAGCAAGAACCCTGTAATTGTTTAACTCTCGAAGGGTTAAAAAAAACCACAACAGGCAAAATAACTGCAACAACGTCTGGGGTCAACAGGGATGGATTCCTGAATAGACCCTTCCATTTATTACATTACCCAACATGGTAAACAATGTACAAAATAACAACAAACAATAGGGAGGGGAGGGGGACGAAGCTAGGTTGTGTTAAAGCACATGTCAGACAAGCTGTGTACAGCGCATGTCAGCAAACTCAACCCAGGTCTCGCTGGAGTAAATACAAATAATAGCTATTATTTTTTACTTAACTCTTGAAGGGTTAAAAAAACCACAACAGGCAAAATAACTGCAACAACAACGTCTGGGGTGAACAGGGAGGGGTTCCTGAATAGACCCTTCCATTTATTACATTGCCCAAGGGAGGCAAAACCTAACCCCAGATGACAAGAAAACTAAGAAAACTACTGTGAAAAAACTAAACAAACGAAGTCAATTGTTTAACTGCCAGCATTCTGTCTTTAACTGGGATATGAATGTAGGACCTATAAGCGTCGGATTGCCAATCTCCTAATCGTTTAATAAGCTCAGAGGGAATTTGGGCTTGAAAGGCCAGAGTGGCCCCACCTGATCGAAAACTGTGTCCACTGACTTGAGATGGGTCCAAGTTGATTTTGGCTGCCAATAGTTTAAGCAGTGTCAAACTTTCCGTGTGTTAGGAGTCGGGCCTCTTGGTGCTTGGACAACAAAGGCTGGACCCGATAAAGGGGCAGGGACTAAATTGAAGGCATGCTTAAGAGCTGTGTAGGGGTAGAGTGGGTGCTGGGCGATGTGAGGTATGGGAATTGTCAGAATGCATTGGCTAAATTGGATTGTTTTCGACCATCTGGTGAATAACAATGGCCCAGTTGGCGAAGAAGAAGATGTCACCGCAACGCAGGTGCTTTGATGGGTTGAAATGAGTTGAACCTCTACACAATAGGTTAGCTTTTCATAAGAGGCCAAAGAATGCTACCAAACAAACTGCCCAGAAAGTGGCATGCCAAGGATTATCTAAGTTTAACTGGTTCCTGAGGGCTAAAAAGATTTGGGGAGTAATTGGTTTCTTTTAAGACACTGTCAAACCTTTGGCACATTTAATTCCTCGAATTGTGGTTGCTAAGTGAAAGTTGTTTTTGGTTGGGTCAGTACGGCCATGCTCAAGATGTAGGATGCGGACTGCATTGAAGTAGGCTGGTATCGAGGATGCTGAAAGTGACCCTGCCAGGAAAGCTGCATACCGATTAAGGGTTAAGTCTGCTGCTGGGAGAGGTTGGTACCCATAATATACACAAAAGGAGAGGTGTGAACGGAGTTGGCTCATATAGGTAGACTTGGTAGTGGGAGCATATGCTTGGTGACCGCAGTAGGCAACTTCACTGTCCAAAGATGCACATCCTTTGGATCTAAGGAGTGCAAGAGATTATGGTGACATGTGGGATTTTAAGTCCTGTGATATAGGAGACTGAGAGAGCCATGCTTGGAATTCCGGCCAGTGACGCACATCATCAAGGCGTGAGATACTATCTGCTAAGGTATTAGTCGATCCTGGAATGTGGTCAATGAATAAGCTGAAGCTGAAGTATTCCTTAAGCCAAAATAGGAAACAAGTCCAAGCTATGATGAGTGGACAGTGGGATGAGCCTTTGTTAAGAATAGCAGCAGCCACCTGGCTGTTGCACTTGATAACTACACGGTAACCGGACCAGAGAGGTGCCCAACAGTGTGCTGCTAAAACAACTGTAAATGTCTCTTTATAATTGATGTGGATAGGGTAGAGAGCAGGGTTGTGCAAAGCCCAGTTAACATACATCCAGTTAGTGTCTCACATGCACCCCCCACCAGATAATGAGGCATCAGTAAGCACAGGTATAGGGAGCCCTGGGGTTGTGAGGGGAACTAGGTTTTACAGTTATGTGCGGGTAGGAGGGAGGTCCACCAGAGAAGGTCACCTCTTGCACTCAGGTTCAAATAGACGCGATGATACGAACGTTTAGCAGAGTTTGCTAATGTGATAAGTCGCCTAAGAAAAATATGGCCCCTTAGATGACATGTGTCGCCCAGTTAAGCTTCCCAAGAAGTCATTGAAGGTGCAGTTTGGAGCATTTACGTTTCAAGCTTGTCTCATTGCAAAGGGACAGTAACTCAGACACACGATCAGGTGGAAGGCGAAGTTCGCACTTACCAGTATCGATTTCAACCCCGAGAAATGTCAGGCATTGGGCAGGATAAACAACTTTGCTCCAGTTAATGGTAAAGCCAAGAGGCTCCAGTAAGCTTAGTAGCATATCAAAGGCAGCCTTGCAGAGAAGCTGAGTCGCTTCAATAATAAGGAAATCATCCAGGTAGGCCAGTACAGTATACCCCCTGTTGGCCATCATATGACAGGCCGCTTGTGTTAGACAATGGAAAGTCATGGGGGCTGCCCTTGCTCCAAAAGGAAGACGTTTATAAAGTACTTAACTGCTAACTTCAACTAGAACAGAGTGAGCAATCAGCACTTTTCAAAAACTAGAGGTTTAAGATAGATAAAATAACTTATATGCTGAAATCAACATTTCAAAGAGTAAAAAGAAAATCTTATTGTCATCCCAGGAAAATAGAACTCAATTTTTTACATCAAGCCTATCTGCCTCACAAAGGTTTCAAGTGTCAAATAGCGTTAATTTAATTATCAGTACCCACTCAAGGGAAGTGTCTGCTAGACACAGATCCATTTGACACTTAAAGAGATTTAGAGCTCATGCTATATTTTACACTTACATCAAGGACTATGAAAACAACGTTCTTTTAATATTCAAAGGTATGAGAGCACTACATTTTTTGTGACAAAGAACAGCACACGGCTAAATTTATTAAACTTGCAGCAGGTAGAATATGTTTGTCAGTAGTTGATTTGAATATTTAATGAGACACAGGGGAAGCAAAGTGAAAAATTCTTTACACTAAACCAGGGTATTATTTTCAAACATTTAGAACAAAATTATTCTCCAGAGATCAACATAAAGCTATTACCTATTTTGAAAAACAAAGTAATTAACGGCTTTTTTCATCGTAGCGATAACGATAAACATCACCAAGGTTTTTGACAAAACTTCACCTGCCAAAATTTAGGAAAAAACGAAACCTTGTTGAAAATTCCCAACATAGAATTTTAAGTCTGCTAAATTTTGTTGTTGTGAATTTATCCGATTTAAAAATAGGTGATGTGAAATCCGATAAGTTCGGCTGTGAAAGCTTCACGGTTGAGTTCTCTCATCATTTTTATGCAAAGAAAACCACAGACCCTGACCTTTAAAATGAATTCAAAATATTCTTAAATGCAAAGTATTGAATTTTGCAATTTCAGCGCAGTAATATTTTCGTGCGTAACCTACCCGTAAACAGTCTCGAATTCACCAGCGGATACGCTTCCATAAGTTGGCGTACAACTTTCACTGAGGGATCCAGTTCATCTTGCACACAAACTAGGATTTCAAACTGGAACGAGTAGGATTCATGTGTGTGTTCAGTAAACTTCACTCTACTTGACATAGGGGCACATATTTCATTGAAACTAAATTCTCAACCAACAGCCCACATGTTACAATGAAAAAAAAACAAACAAAAAAACAAATTAGGCTTTAAAAAGGGTAACAAAAGAATAAAAGGATACAGGATTGACAATGAATGAAGACATAACGCCTAAAATAACACAACTCTTACCTTGGGATAATTTAATTCGAAAAAACCTTGAAGATTTTTTATAAGATTCGGTTCATCTCCAACCAAAGGCTGAAAAAATGATAAAATCATATGCGAATTACTTCCTGGGTCGCCGACAGAGCAAAACAGCTCTTGAGTCTTGAAGTAAGCTCATTTAACATAAATTTGGCGGATCGATAGCTAACGAACACGTTATACAATGTAAAGCTATAATGTTTAAAGGATACCTTACCTTCAAAATTGAAACTCCCGGAAGTTCTTTATTATTGACAGCGGGAGTAGATTTATGGAGGTGAATCTTACTAAAACAGAGTACATTGACAAAATAGTAAATGTACCAAACATTAACACTGCGCTTAGCTAGTTGAGCGGAATATCAAATGGCACAGCTTTGCAAACACTGAAGCACATAATAATACTCACGCTGTCGCTATAGATATTAACTGAAATAATGCTAATACTATCCATAATAATATAAGAAAGAAGGCTAAAAGATCTGCAGCGCTTGGCGCGTAAATCTCCTCAAAGTCCCCAAATGTGGAAGCCATCTTGGAAGGTAAAAATACGCTCGGCCTGCCCTCGGGCCAAGAAAGCTCCTCATCCTCTGATTGGCTCGTTCCTTCAAATCTGTTAAATTGATTGGTTAAAAGTTCCCGCCCTTTTCAAGTTGGGGAGTGCAAATGACGTGGCTTGAGTTGTTCACCCTTTGCACCTACCGGAAATATAATTCAATGTTTATTTACCCAAGATGTAGATATCTTTGTTCTAACATAAACAATACTGAGTTTTATTACACGACTCGGGCAGTCAGAGGGCCAATAACTAAAATCAAGGTCTGATTTTCGCTATTGCATAAATAGCACTATCTACTGCGAGGATCGCACATCACACGTATCTAATACCGCAGTTCAAAATATATGAACTTCATATATTCATTGCATCTCAACTAAAATCAACCAATCAAAATGCTCTATTGCCGGTCAATATTCTCTAAGTATTGGACCGGGCACTGTCCCGAATGGTCCCAAATGATACCGCACTTGTATCCCTTTGAACTTCAGTCGTATAATAAATCTCTTATTAACCAAGCTTGCTCGGGACCGTACCGGAAGAATATCGGCCCTCGGTCTTTTTTGTACGGACCTCGCTGCGCTCGGTCCGTACTGTCAAGACCTCGGGCCGATATTCTCCCAGTACGGCCCTCGCGCTTGGTTAATAAGATATATATAATTACCTGGGTATTAAAATCCACTTTTACTGTCTTATAGATGGTCGTGGATAATATAATTCTCATTCTCCAACCCAAAATTAATGCCTAGTCTATTTTCATTTGCAACACCCATCTGTATGCAAACGTCAGCGTCCTGGATAATCCCTGCCTGACCAAATACAGCTGTAAAGCGTTCGATACATTGGAAAAACGGCGTAACTCAGGAGATTACATGTTTCGTGGAGCATTACTTGCTGCGACTACCTAACCTCTGCTCTCCATGAAAAAAAAGAAAAAATTAATGGCCTCCTGGCAGACCCTTGTAACATGCTGGGCGCGTCGGGGAGAAAAAAAACGATTGGTCAGCGGCATACGATCGATCCGTGCAACGGTCGTGTAAACGGAAACTGGCCTGAAATGGGCAACACGCTCAACAGGCAAACATAACTTTTTATTGTTCTATTGAATTCCTGGAGTATGGATTGGGAAAGCAAGTTTTCTTCCATTGTACGTGAAACAGAGACAAATTTAGCTAGAGTTCGGGTAAGAAGGATTTGGGTCGAGGGGATTGTCACACATTCCTTCAGTCGATCGTAACGCGTCTGAAAGCTTCAACGCAAATACAATTATTGTAGAGCCAAAACCCTTCTTCTCCGATTGAAATCGGACGGAGATTTTAATTTTCTTCCAAACTTTTAAACAATAAGTTTGTTTACTTCTCAGGATCGCTTGGGTTCAGGCAGAAGCAAAACAAAAGCATTCCTCGATAGTTCAAGTGGAAACCATTTTGGCGGTGAGAATGTAGTGTTTTCATTGGCTGTTTCACTTGATGCCATCAGTTAATGATTTTTTTCGACAAAGTTGTCCAAAATACTGTTATTTGCCACGATGAGTGACGAAAACATCCGCGAGATACAGACAAAATTCAATATTTTGCATCAATTGAGTTCAACAATTGTTTTAATCTTTTTATGTTTTTTTCACAATCATTTTCAAGAATCACTCTGTGTCAGTTCACCCTTCTTGAAACCCCCAAGATCCAATTGGTTATTCTCCCTGCTGACTGCTATACATTTCCTTGCAAATTAGACAGGAGAATTCCATTTTGAATCAAGATAACACTTTCTATTGGCTGATGAGTGCACGGAATGATGATTATTTTTGGACAACACTTTGTTACAGTAATGTTAAATGAACATAAGAACAGGCTGATTTTGAATTTATAACCAGAGCAATTTCTGTTCATTGTAACTGTCATTTTTACAAAAGCCTGTGATTATTGTAAACCTGAAAGTATTTCTGTTAATAACACAGGAAAAGAAAAGAATTACAAAAAATATTGAGCTTCTCTATTTGTCTTTGTATTATTTATTTGTTTATACACTAATCCAATTTTTTCTTTTGCAGCCTGTGTCCAAAGAAAGTGGACAGAGGCCTCAAATTTAAAAATTTTATGGCATGGTCATATCCATAAAACTAATGTAAAACTTCTGTTAACTTTTGCCCTTGCCAATATTACCCTTGTATTAACTGAAATCAAATTTCCAGTAGATCAGGATAAAATTCAGTCAGTAGATAATGCCATCCTAACATGTCAGCAGGTAATCTTCACTCTGAAGCCACTAGAAGTCCTTTCAAATTCTCCAAGGCATGGGACTTACCAAGCAGCTTACACAGTCCTGTGAAAACGGTTGGCATGGCAACCAGTGTTCCATCCAGTCAGGCATCACCTGCTTTAGTAAATGCATTGTTTGAAAGGGTTGAGGAACAAGCTGAGGTATTTTATGATTGTAGTGTGCTTGCAGCTCTTTTTGATGTTTGAAATAGATATTCGACAATTGGTACTGGATAAGATTGCATGTATCAGTTATCAAGACTTTTGTTCTTTGTGAAGGCCAAAAGGCTCAAAGCAAGGACTCAATCATTCTAAGTTTAAGTCATTTATTTATAATAAGCAGCACTTCACAAGTAGTTGCATTGGAAAGGTTTTAGGTAAACACTTCATGAAAAGTTAACTTTTGATAGGATCTTTGTGGGTCTGAGTGCAGTTTCTATGACCATAAGCAAGGGGTTGATATTGCTACCCCTTCTGAGCAGTTGAGTTTAAAGGATGATTTGCCTAATGGGTTGATCAATTTGAAACCTCAATATTCCCTTACTCTAAGCAACCCCCCTCCCCTCTTCCCCTGAGGCATTTTAGCTTTCGAAGATCGGTTTGTTCAAATTCTAATTTTCCTGGGGCAGAAACATGTATTTATTGAACAATTATTTTTGTGATCCACAAATGTTGTAGAATTTAGCAAAGTCATATATTAGTTTTTGGTGCTGTTGTTTGGTTTTTACTTGCAGGTATCATTCTACAATGTGAACATTTTCAAGCTATACATTTGCTCATGAAAGTGGACTGTTAAAACCTTTAAACTCCTTCATAATTATAATTAAAACACTTAAATTATATCTGCTAGTTCTTTATTCCCCACCCCACCCAAAAAAAATTATAAAAAAACAACCAACTAAGTTTGTTCTTGAATTTGTGCAAAACTGAGTGTCTTCATTCTGTCTGCCTTTCTATTAAAGATGGTGAATCAGCTGAGTGATGCTGTTAACAAGCTTTTGAAAGAAAAAGAGGCACATGCTGCAGAGATCAAGAAAATGAAAGGTTGGTTTTAGTTTTGGCAGAATTCTGTCTGCTCAGCCTCATTCAGGTATTATATGATGCTGCTGTGTACGCTTTAAATTCTCTTTACAGTTTGATTGCAAATATTTGTAAGCAGGCTTATGCGCTGAGGATACAGATAAACTCAACTAGATATAACCGAATTGTTTGAATTGTCTGCTAAACTTGCTTTCACTGTTCAGATTATCGACTAGGAAGTTTTTAAGAGAATAAATTGAACTGCAATACATATTCACAATCTAAAAAGGTTTTTCTTAGCTTTGTTTGGGCTTTTTTAAAATTCGTTTCTGTTCTTGACACCAGTAAGCAGAATTTTAAGGGGAAAGTTGAATGTATTATTTTACACTGATTGATAACAAATAGATAGGTTTTATTATTGTTTTTGTTACCTGAGTGATAAGTAATTGATAAAAGACATAGTGTATTATTTTGTGTGATGATATTAAGCCTATAACCCCAAAAATCTAATTGTTCATTCTCCCCTCTAGCTGTAACACATTTCCTTTTAAATTATGAGAATTTGGAGTTAGATCAGGATGAAAACTTCTACCTGAAATTTTTAAGCATTATCATTACCATCATTGCTTCTGCAAATTACAGACTGAGTTAACAGCAATGACTGATGTTTTTAGGGGGTGATTGAACAGGAGTTCCTATATGTAGATAGCAAAGCTGTTTTTTTATCTTTAAATTAAAGTGTTTTTAATTGATTTGATGATGTAGATGAAATAAACAGACTGAATGACAGGCTCAGAGAAAGAGGAGTGGACCTTGAAACAGAGAGAAAACTAGAACAAGTATGCATATCTTTTGTTTCCAATTCTATTCAGTTTTTATTTAAGGCTGCATCTCATTTTAAATTATTCCTCTCTTTCTCATTTTTTCCTTTTGGATATCTATCTTAGTTTACAACTTACAATTATTCTCTGTGTTCTGAAAAGTGATCAGATCTTGCTCCTAATTAGTAGCTTGGCTTTGCTGTTATTTAATGTTGTAATAATTTCTTGTATTTCAGTTTAAACGTGATGTATTCAGTCAGTTAGATTTGGTACGAAACCAAACAAAACTGAGCCCAGATGCTGTTGGGAAAAATTCTCATTTCATTGATTCAGCTGTCATGAATGAGGCGTAAGTAGACCAGATATAAAACTTGATATATGAACTTCTTAGGCTGTGCGGTACTTCAATTATGACCTGACTTTGCCAGAATGTGAATTGTTTTCTAAATGTATCTTAAACTCTGATTGCAATAATATGCCTTCAATAATGAAGTAAGCAATAGATCACACCTCTGATGATAAGAATGAAAGCGTTCAAAGAATAATGTCATCACAGAACTTTGTCAGAGTTTCATGCCTCGGAGAGCTAAGAGGTCTAAATGTGTTAGATCTGACCTTATATGTCTTGTGGTACCTGGTTCATCTAAAATTAGAGTTGAAAATACTTTTTTTATTTACCAATACTAGCCTCTAACCAGTTTTAACTCTTTGACTCGTATGAGCTACTTGCTTCTAATTTCTCTTTTCAGTATCACCCCTTAACCCTTTCACTCCCAAGATCTGATTATGAATTCTCCCCTCTAGCTGCTACACATTTCCTTGGAATTTGGTTATGAGAAGTTGTTGTTAGATCAAAATAACAACTTCCACCTGATGTGTTTGGGTATTCTCATTACCTGTTTGTTGGATAATGTGTGGATATTGTTGTGAGAAGTTACATGTTCATCACTTTAGAGTTGAAGGATTAAATCAAATGTAAAGGACACGAGAATAAAGGAAATGGTGACCAATTTAGTAGCTCTCGATTATCAAACCAATTTTTCTGGTCAGTACCTTTGGAAACATGAAGAGAAAAGTGGAGGGAATATGGATATTAGTGTTGGGTGTAAAGGATAAACCTTCTTACACTGACCAGCTGATCTACAGACCTTTTTAAGACTTCCTACTCATTCCCATAACATAGCAGTTATAATATTATAATCATGTGCTTGTAATTTAGAACTTCATCTTTACTTGGTTAAACCTTATACAGGAAAAGAATGATTGAAGAAGAAACAGAGTCTTTAGGAAGGAATATTGAGCACCTTAAAACAAGACTGGGTATGAAAAAGTCACAAATAATTGCTACATTGCCTCGATTTTAACAAAAACGCAATGGAAAATTGTTGTTGGGTCACTTAAAACAGTAATTATTTATTTTTATATGACTTTTTATAATTATTTGTAATTGGGAAGACATTTGATCCTTCTGTTTAGCAGGTAGTATAATTGTAGATGAGTAGGTTGTTGAGGTACCACACAAAATGCCGTAAAGGACTGGGGGGGGGGGAATGGCTGTGGACTAGCCTCCTGTTCAGGGTAGTTTCAGTACTCCTAGTTACTACCTGTTGTTAAAATTGTGATGAAGCCTGGGTATTATGGACCACATGGCTGGAGTCAAAGCTTCATAGCTCATCATGCAGGGCTTGACGCTAACTTTTCAACTTACTAGCCAAGTGGCTAGTGACATCTTATATGTTTTGAGATGTTACGATAATTTCAGTCTGTTTACTAGCCAAACTGCCTAGTGGAAATTGACAACCACAAGCCAAAACTGAATTTCCACTAGTCTGTGGCTAGTGGGCTACCATTAGTGTTCAGCCCTGGTCAGGTAATATTTACCTGGTCTTCCTTCTATCTTACATTTCTAATTTTTTTCTTGTGGATTAAAATACAGGTAAAATGGAGCTTGAACTACAATCTGCTGTTGCTAGTTCTAGAGATGTTCTTCATAAACAAGAGAGGTTGGATAGAGTGAGTTTCTGAATTTAACAATGTTGTTAATTGCTGTCTTGTCCAAATAGGCCAGTTTTCTCAGTTGATCTAGGATCCTACATGAATTGTGAGCAATAAATGTTCTGGTCCACTGTTTTGGTTAACAATCTAAAAAATGCATTTAGTGTCTATGTAGTGTTATAAAATATTGATCGGAGAAATGTATTTTGTGTAGGCTTTGTCATCACTGTCAGAGAATCAGCGCTCACAATCAAGAAGCCTGAGCAGCATTGTTGATGACAGACAATCTGACTCCTATGAGATACAACAGCTCAAGTAAGTCAGTTTAGCAAGTGTGATCTCCTTTATAGTGCTTAAGAGTTAATGAAAAAAATATTAACGCCCATTGGCAGATACTCCTGTCAACAAATACCATTGATTGCTTACAAATTAGTATTCATTTGATATAAAAATACTTTTCTTATTGTTGTCGATTTTATCAGACTTATTGTCTATTTTGTTTGTTTTGTGATCAGTGATATGTTTTTGTTTACTTGCAGGCACCTTGTTAACAAAGTGAGCAATCAGTGTTCTGAACTAGAAACAGAACTTCAGTCCAGCATCAGGCAATCAGGAGTTTCAAGTAAGATGTTCAGTAGCCAGTAGAAAATGGTCTTTTCAAGATGATGACTTTCCTAGTTTTTCAAAAGATGATAGAGCAGTGTCATCATGTGTTCAACTTGTTTTGTTTTGAGTATTCAGGGGCCATTTATCTTCCGAGAAAATATGCTGATATGCTTATTTTGGGGCTTAGCATGGCCGAGAGTATTTGGGAAGAGACAGCTTAAGAAAACACAGGTTACAGTCAGAAACACAAATATATTACTACAATGAACTTATTTGTGTGGCAAAAATTTTAAGGTCTGGAATAATTTTGATCCTTGATGAACATGAATGGCAATAATCTTCTTCATTTATTCATTTCTTCATTTCTTAGTTTAGTTTTATATTTGTAATAAATTAACTGTACGTGGAACCTAAGTGAACAAAAGGTGAACCATTCCACAAGGATCATTTGCAGTGTGCAATCGTTTGAGGTTCAAAGTGGGGATCATTAACAGTCACAGGAGCACTTGGGGGAGCTCTATGGATTTTAGTCTGTGAAACCCTTAGCGAGGCACTGTCTATTTTGTTCACCATACAGGTAGCAACTCTTCTGTGAGACAGCCTCGACCATCCCCATCCCACCAAACCAGGATGACCAATGGTACCTCCAAACCAAAGAAAAAAGGTGTCAAACAGAAATCTAAGGGAGCCACAGATGATCTTGTAATATCAAGTAATAGTGACACTGATCTAAGCTTGACAACACTTGAAGCTAGCAGCCTTAGTGATACAGACCTAGCCTCACTGCAGCTTGACAGATCATATGCAGGTGCAGTACTCATACTTATGGGTTGTGAAAATAGATCAGATGTTCTTAGCAGTCTTGTTCTAATCTTTCCAGCCTGGTTGTCTGAATTTCAGCCGTCTCTTCCCTTTACCCCAAGGGGGGCGTGCCCCCCTTGGGGTAAAGGGAAGAGACGGCTGAAATTCAGAGTACCAGCCTGGCAGCCATTTAGAATTTCCCTGAATTTGTTAAATTTACTTTTATTTTATTTTTATTAAATTTTAATTATTTATTTATTTATTAATAGAAGTATTTCATACTAATTGTGGAAAGGGAGAGTTCTGTTCCAGAATGAAAATATTGTTACCAATGAAAAAATTTAATTGCTCATCAGTGTCAGTTTTCTCCAAATGAAATTTGAGCTTGCATGATGTTAATTTCATTGAACCTTTTGGCCTTTAAGGTTCTTGTTAGTAGTAACCTTAAGAAAGATATGATGTTGCCAAAATAACTGTTTTTTCTTTGTAGGAGCATCTGGAAAAGGAATGGGAAACATCTCTAGTTCATCATTGAGTTCCCTAGATTCTGATGATCTGCTTAAATAACTGTCACGCAGGGATCAAAAGGAATATTATGTGATAAAATAATCACAATGCACTTTCCTGTGACACAAGTAACTGTACTCTTTTTATTTATTGTACCAGTTAAATTTTAGCAGAGAAAAAAATTGCAGACAAAAAGATCCATTAATTGTAATGTTGAATGAGACAAGTAGTTAGGAGTTTGCCCCTGTGCTTACAGGTAGAGACCTTTTTTATAACTGATAATATATTCCTCAATAAATTACTTTTTGATACAGTGTTGAGGATGCAGTTGTTCACGTTGGCCCAGGTGAGAGCGCTCATCTTTCACCACTATGACCCGGGTTTGATTCATGGACCTGGTGTCACATGTGTTTTGAGTTTGTTATTGGTTCTCTTCCTTGCTCCAAGGGTTTTTCTCCAGGTTCTCAAGTTTTCCTCCCTTTGCAAAAACCAACATTCCAAATTTCAATTCGACCTGGAAACAGTCACTAGAAGAGCCACCTTGTGGAATGTCTGCTGTTGAATTCTCCTTCACATTCCCATTCCTATTTGGCATTTTGTTACAGTGGCAACTTTTAATAGGAAATTTGTTAAAGGTAAATTATAAGTTATAAAGCCAGAAAAAATGTTAAACATGATCTTTCAATTTAATTTCAAGCAAGTTGTTGTTATATATACACCTTAGTGCTCACAAATAACCATAAGAAAGAAGAGAACTTTTCAAATGGGAATTTATTTCCATGTCAACGAATTTGCTTTGACTAGATTAGTTCTACAATGTGATGATTCAGTTCTACACTGTGATGATTTTGTTTAAGTGGTTTGTTGTGTTCTTGAATAACTTCAACTGTGAAACTTAATATTAGTTAGCCATTTTTTGTGGAGTGATTACCTGCCAAAATTCACCTAGCAGCCCCCTCGTTTCTTAGCCAGGGAAACTGGTGGCTTTCAGCTGCTGACTGGCAATTTTCTTGGAAGCTCCCTGTCTAGGTGTGTCAGTGGGCACTGATGAATTGAGCTCACTATCACAATCCATCACAGTTCCATCCTTCGGAGAAATGATGCTGGCATACATTAATTCTCATTGCACAGAAAGCCAGCTTTACTCCAGCCAATATGAGCCATCAAGTTTTCAGACATCCTTATGACCACCATACTGTACATAAACACAGGGTAATATGTAAAAACTGTTTATTAGGACTTTCAATTTCTAAGTGGCCCCTGCATATTACTTAGAGCAAAGGCTTAATGTATTCCTTAAAAACATCCCCAAGTTGTAGTTCCATAAATCTTTCTGTCAGTTGTATGGTAGATATGCACTCTTCTTTGTCAAAGTCAGAAATCCTATGCATTTAAAAAGGCAGGCAAAATTATTAGTGATAATTGTTAAATGGCTATCTGACTGAAGAGTACTGGGCTGTGTGAAAGGATCAGCTTTAACAATGTTACCATGGAAACTACACAGCACATCAAGAGAGGCAGAATATCAGCCATTTGGAAGAATAACATTTTATAAAATCAGTCCAAATATAAACTTTCAGTCTCTACACCAAAATTGAAATATGGTGTCCAATTTGAATTGCCATTGTTCTGGACCTACTAGCCTTGTCTTCATGTGGAAACAAAAGGATTATCATGTGTGTGAGAGGCTAGTGAGTCCAGAACAGTGACAATTCAAATTGGACACCATATTTCGATTTGGTGTATCTCTTACCCTACGAAAAGTTGACCATACTATTACAAAGCGCTTGTTAAAGCAGCATGAGTCTCCCTATTTTTACCTCAATTTACTAGGAGCTTGTTCCTGCACCAAGACATTCATCATTCTTTCCTTACATGGTTTTCCAAGAGTCAACATCAACATTGCAAGTTTTATGCCTTCGTAAGTATTCTCTGACATCACTATCCTTCCCAGCCAGCAAAAGGAAGATCAAAGAACTTACGAAGAAGAGTCTTCCACTTAAATTTAGCTCTTGAACCCAACGTGTTATGGTTTTTATGTAGCGGTTTTTACTCCGCATGTGGTCTATCTTGAGTAAAATAACGGTTTTATCGGCACATAAATTACCACTTGCACTCTTTGACGCTGTACTTATGTTGTCAGAACATAAAAAGTCTTTAGTATTCTCTTGGAGCCACATAACCAGTTCCATAATCATTGGCTCAGAACTCGAACTGTGCCAATCGTTTATATACTCCAAAAGTTTTTTTCGCAAAGAATTCAAGTCTTTCCTCGACATTTCCGCACATGATAGTGATATTTGTGGTAATTTTCTGGGATACTCTTGTGAAATTACAACAGTCATTTCCACAACAAGTGAAACAGGACTCTTGTTCCCCACTGTGTTTAAGTCTTCCCCTGCGACACAACTGACGGAAATTTTGAAAGAGATTGGTCCTGAAGATTCCTCAAGCTCATCAAATGATGTCGGATTTACCAAGAAAAATTCTTTAGGGTTGCAAAAAATCGATTTTAGGGCCATAACTTCATCCAACACTTCTGGTGCGAACATGACAGTTATATGCCAGGCGTTCTTTCCCTCGCTCTGAAGAAACTGGTGGGGATTCATAACCAGCGGACAGGTTATGAAATTTTATTGCGGGCTCAATGTTAATGAAAGCTGAAATGTAGGAAATGGAAAACTTTACATCATTAGAGCATCATAATATAAGTTAATTTCACGCACCTAGACGTTTTCAATCAAGAATGAGCGAGAAGAGGTAAGAAAAATTGCTTTAAATTATTAAGATGCTGTTTTTATCCGTTTATACGTGACTGCTTGTATAAAAATGGTAATTTAGTTACGGTTGCTTTGGAAACAGTGAGCTTAGTTATGAAAGGTGGAATAAAGATGTGAGCTCAAAGTCCAGCAATTACACAAAGTAGGTCTGTTAAATGTCACTGTTCACTTAATCTTTAACATGGATAATGGCAACGTTATAACAGGTTTGTGTCAGTTGCAACCAGAATGCAGTACTCAGCTGTGATCAGTTTATTATGTCCTAAAAATTCTTGCAATTTCCTGAAATATCTTGCAATATTGCAATTTCAATGCCGTTGAATTATTTTTGATAGGTTGGTATGGTGGCTGTGAATTTATAGATGAAGTGTGTTGAGGATTTTCTAATAAAGATGTTGATAATTCATTATTCAAAGCAAGGGTAACCTGATCCATTTTGGTGTTTTGTGCACATGAAAAAGGGGGTTATTAACCCCATTAATAGCCACAGCTTTTGTGAAAAACTGTGTTTTGAAGCTAGTCGAGCAGATTTCGGGTCACTGTTGTTGTTTTAAAAGCTCAAACTTACCACAAACCCATTGACAGGTTGTACACTCCACGGCCTTTCGATCCAAATGCAAAATGGCGACCTGAAAATCTTGGGCACGCACTGAAAGCAAAATTTCGAGATAGTTTTTGGGTTGAAAAGTAATGCCCCACTTAGGACTTTTACTTTTCTCTCTTTCTCTTGCCCTTTTTTCCCCTCTCCTTGCCTGAAGTTTCTCCTCACTTGCTGGAAACTTAGTAGGCTTCATTTTGGTGTAGAGATTTTTTAGGAAACTACTCATTATTTTCAAACCACATGCTCAGAAAGGTAGGTGGGTAATGGAACAAGATTTTCGAGCAGATTTTCAGGTCAAAGTTACATGGTTTTTTGGCTATTTCTCCAATCTCCTTGTCTATATTGCCCTCATTCTGGTATCATTTGTAAGATATTTTCAGCCTGTTCAAGTACGTGCTCAAAGTCGTGCTCCAGGGTTAAAAGTGATGATGTCACAAGGTGTAGAAAGGGTGTGGGTCCACATGGACGCATACGTGTGCACTGGACATCAATAGGTTAAGGGGTTCTAAAGTTTGACAAGGTGACCTGTAAAAAAGTCACAACTTTTTGAGCAATTATTTTGGCAAGTGTTAAAAAGTGAAAGCAGCAGTACATGTATATCATGGTATTAGTGAAGAAAGAATCTAAAATCTCATTTGAGCCACCTCAAGCTCTTGTTTTACTGTTTTATCAACAAAAAATCATCGATAGGTCAGAGAAGACTATCTGGGACTTGGCAGTTGAAGAGAGGAATAGAACTGAAAACCATTCAAGTAAAGGTATTTCCAATTTAGATGCACACTGTAAGTGTATTCCCAAGCTACCATTGTATGAAGAGAACTCTTGGGTTTTAAATTAGGTAAAGATTTGCCTTAACATAAATGAAAGACAGAAGTAATATTTAAATTAACCATGAATAACTTATTTTGAAGTTTTCTCTCTCCCTCTCTTTTTTTTTTTTTAAGATCAACAAGATGATTCACAGCTATCCAGTAGTGATGAATCCAGTATCTTTATCCTGGGAAGCAAAAACTCTGTAAGTTTTCAACAGTTTTGTCACTAGTACTACTTGTGAAATGGTGCTCTTCATATAATTGAATTTTTTATTTCTCTGAGTTTCTTGTTCAAATCTTTTCCAGCAAAAATGTTTGCTTGATTCATAGACCACTATCATAAATGGGTGCCGGATTAATGTTCTTTTGTTTAAATTTAAATTAGCCCCTCTGGCCTCATTCTCCAGTGCAAAATTCAAGAGAATACATTATCTCAAGCGAGGCCAGGAGGGCTAATTTAAATTTAAACAAAAGAATATTAATCCGGCAGCCATTTATGAAGGTGGTCTATAGTCATTTCTATTTTCTTGTGTTGGTCCACACTTCATATAATTATGTTGCATGTAATTTCACACTTTCATCCCTCTATAAATGTTGTTACCAACTTATTTGACAATTGTGACATGTCGTCACAAAAGGGTCACTTTTTACTGTTGTTTATTGTAGTTCTTGAAGTCTTCATTTACCCAATGTTAAATATTAATGAATCATATCAATTTCTAGGGAAAAACCTCCATAATTTTGAGATTTCTCGATCGGTGAGTAGAATTATTCAGCATACTAAGCAACATCATATTGAAAGCTGGACATATTAGTGAATCTCTCTTCAATCAACACTTTAACTCCCAAGATCTGATTGTTGATTTTCTCCTCTAACTAATACAAATTTCCTTGTTAATAAGTTATGAGGATTTCGTGGTAGATCACGATGATAACTTCTACCCTATAGGTTTGAGTATTTTCCTTAATTTTTTCTGAATAATGTATGGATATTATATGGAAAAGTTACAGCCATACATGTTATCATGTCTGGGAATTCAAGGGTTTTACCCTTATTAAAATAACTTTAGAAATGGTGGAAGCACTCTGTATGAAGATCAAGAAATTTGACAAAATTTGTTGATAATCTAATTATAGAGATGAAGCTCCTAAACCAACTACAGCTTTGGATTATACCTTTGGAAGAAGAGCTAAAACTGGACATAATATTGTAAGTCTCTGTACACTTAGTCATAAGACAGTGATGTTTTTTTTTTAAAGACTAATAGAATGGGTAGTGAGTTTGGCCTCTCCAGACACAAGAGTACTGTTTTTAATTAAGTAAAGATTCTTCTCTACAGAGTTAAAGTTGTACCAAGAAAGGGATAAGCAAGTTGTATTTGAACTCATATGGTTTTCAACAATGAAAATGAATTAAATTTTTCTTCAGTTGCTTGACTGGTTTTACTATTCATTAAATTGTATTGAAGGATATGTGATAGTATCTTTTGGTCAATTTGAACAGGGAAAAGATGTAGGTCACATATGGGAGCTTGGAGGTGGAACATTCCTTTCCAAATTAATTGAAATTCCTCTGACATCTGTAACTATAAGGTGAGAGCCAACTGGCATTCAAGCTTAACCACTAGACCCATAGTAGTGACTAGCATCTAACTTCTCCTTACAATATCACCTCTGAATCACTCATTAAGGTCACAAGAATAGAGGGAATGATCACCATCTAAAGTAGCTCTTGATTGTTAAACAAATTCTCCTTGTCACTTAACGAAAATTGAATAGATAATGGTATGGAGAATATGTATACTGGTGTTGTAGTGTAAAGGGCGAGGGTTGATTTACATGCCAGGATGATATGATTTCTAGCTGTGATCATTGCATGTGATAAACTTCTCATATAACAAACAATTTGCCCACCATGCTATCTTAATTAGTGACACCAGTAGCAATTCTGATAGTGATACGCAAAACGGGAAATGTTTCAGAAAGACTTTATAAAACCTTGCAAAAAACTTTTTAGCTGCATAGCCATTGTTGAATGTCCATCGCATCAGACTGTAAAATTCTGTAAAATAAGAATAGGTGCTAATGAATTGTTTGAGAAACCTGACAAGATGAGGGAGTTTGTAACCTGTGGTGGACTTGGATCTCATGCAGGTGGAGTTTCAATGCTCCAACAATATAATATATGGTTCTTGTCATAGAATCAGGGATAAGCTCCAGCCAGGTCAACCACTTGGCTAATGACTTTCCTTCTACTCAATACAATTGTGTTAGGTTAGAATGTTGCTGACTGCAGAAGTACAGTGTTGAGATACAGCTGTGGAGATTCCATGTCATTTAACTTATTGTTTGACTATATTCATGTACAGGAGTATGGCTGTTGTGGTTGTTGTGGACTTGTCTCTTCCAAATGAAATGTGGAACACAATGGAAACACTTCTCTCTCAGGTAAAGGAATGGTTTAATATATGTAGTGATTAGGAGTTAACTTCTGTAAGACAGAGAGACAGTAGTTGTCTAGCTCTTTTTTAATTCTATTAATTACCTTTTTTAAGATATGTAGCCAGAAATTAGCATGCCATATATTAAATACTTCAGCTGGTCTTCAAGTGTGCTATTAACAAAGTCTAACTAGACACTTTTTTTTTATTGATCTGTTTCCTTTATAAGGTTGTCTTTGTCATTAGGTAATTATGAGAGTTACATCAAATACTAATCAGAATATAAAATGTCTACATGCCTTCTTACATATGGTACACTTTTATACAGAGTCTGTCCATATACTGTAAAGATGTTAAATAAAATTAATGACTAAAACCTACCCAAACTGAAGGAAACCTTATGTGCTAGTTGTTACAAGTTTGTAACTAGGAAGTTGATACAATTTAATTGTTTATTATAATTAGTTCCTGAGATGCTTTGTGCAGGAGTTATCTATAGATGAGATTACTGTGTGTGTCCTTAGGTCAAATCTAAAGTGAACAAAGCGCTGGAAAGTTTGGAAGGTAAAGAGCCAAGGTACGGTACACAGTGCTTCCATATGTTGGATGATATTTTGTGTATGCTTCTGATGATGATAGCACATGTCACATACTAGCTGACGTTTCAATGAAAGCTGATTACTGGCGGCCTCTAAGTCCTCTTAGAACCATCTGTTTAGCTTTCAAGTAGCCATCCTATGTGGGTTTTTTTCTTAGGGCCCTTTTCCAGGAATGGCCACATATTACACCAGTGTGCGCTTGCAGAAAAAGGTTATTGAAACCCTGCTGCTGGTAAGGCTGTCATGTTCAGTCTAATGGGGCACCACCTGCATATACACTCCTGCTGATGTGAATGCAATAAATTGTATTCAACTTTTTGCTCCTCCTCTCAGAGAAGCAGTCCTTCTTTTCCAGCTTTTTGCATGGGTGTATCCTAAACAAATTTGGCTCATGCGAAATCTAATGGGAGGTGCAGCTTAGTTGTTAGGACTGAATCAAAGGATCAAGCTGTGATTAGGTCATTTTATGCTGTGCTCTTGGGCAAGACACCTTATCCTGACAGTGTCTCTCTTCCCAAGAGCAGGTATGGGTATTGGCAAACTGACAGGGAGACTTAGGCAAATACAGGGGGGTAACCCCATGGTAGAATAAGTTGTTCTTTTCCTGGGGGAGGAGCAACACTTCTACTTGGTTCATGCTGGAACTGGGATAAGCTGCACCATGATGACCTTCTGACTCATGAGCCAACATAATTTATCTCATTTTTAACATTTAATTTGGGGAATATGCCCTCATTCACAGTTGTTACATGGTGCCAGTTCTTCCTTTTTCTCAGCTGCCTCACTACTGCTCACATTCTAACTCCTGGAGAGGATGCCACATGCTCTAACCCTGTCCCCAGAGATTCTAACTCCTGGAGAGGATGCCACATGCTCTAACCCTGTCCCCAGAGATTTCTCAGTTTTCTTGACATCTCTCTGTCAAGCAGTTATACAATGAGATGTCATTTATACACTTATTTTTAGGGGACACTGTGAGAAAACTTCAAATGACCCACAGGGGTTCTTTAAATCAGGAATCTGGTATTAAACCATAAGACAACTGCTAGAAATGTTAACTGATCATGATTTCTTGTCTTCAAAGTTCTGTGCAACAAATTAAGAAGCAAGCCTGGAAGAAATTTGGAGAAGAACATCCTGTAAGTGAAAACATTCTGAAGTAAATTCTGTTATAATTATACATGTACATCAACATCCTCTAAAATTCAGCCCAAATGTTTGGACATTGTAATGGCAGTCATTGGTAATATTCTCCATTTAAGCATCCTTGCTCATTTTTGTTGTTTTATTTGGGAGTTTGTTAATTCCTGAAAGGTGTTGGCCTAATAATGTATTGTTATAATTTTCAGAGAGTGTGTGCTAGTTTTTGTCTTGTAGGTCATATTCATTGCCATGTGGTTATTATTTTTCTTAAATTACCAAACTATAGTTTGGATTAAAACTTTAGAAATTTTTAATAGTAGGCAGGAGAAAGAATGAAGAAGATTTTATGATTTTCTTCAAATTCTCTCTTTCCCCAGTGGCTTTTTGAGACAATTAGAAGTGAAGGTCTAACTGAAAATATGACAAACTTAAACAACATCAAAGGATTAGGTCATCAGAGTTAAGTCAAGTGACTTAACACTGACTGATAATGACTTCCACAAAGGATTAGGTCATCAGAGTTAAGTCAAGTGACTTAACACTGACTGATAATGACTTCCACAAAGGATTAGGTCATCAGAGTTAAGTCAAGTGACTTAACACTGAC